CGAGGAAAGGCGGCTGGAAAGCCACCGACTGCAAGCCAGCTGCACCACACAGGTGAATAATGATTATTTGTTTAACCAAAATATGATTAATCTGTCTAAAATTAAATTAATATTTTGATATGTAGCACCAAATCGTCTGATGGATTTTCCGACTTGGACTACTTCCGCAAAGTCTAGCAACATAATAATCATTATAACACTACACTGTATGCTTTGTTTCCGCACGCTCGTGTCCACATGTCACCTAACTAAAAGTAATAGCCTACTGTAGCATCTACATGTACCGGATCCGGAGCGTAGAAGCTTGACGACCTCCGCTGACTCCATCCAGCATGTACTCAGTAATGCTACTATTCCAGGTTGCCGAAAACTTATCGCGGGAGACATTCTCCCCTTGCAGGACCTGCGCATAGCTGTCGTCCCGGCGAGGGTAGATACTGTGTTGTCTGTCGAAATAGTTCTTCTTCACGCTGACGCGAATGATGATTCTCATCAGCCATGAACTCGTTGCGACGGTGTGACATGGCGATGGTCTTTGGCGGGGCTGTGGCTTGGCGAAAACGCAATCGTCTTGTGCAGTAGAACATTGATCGGCTGCAGATGAGTACAGTCACTTTGTGGCTGGTTCCATAGGAGGAAGCCTGACAGGAAAGAGGCAGGACTCATCGAAGAGTCAAGACAAAGCGCTCGCAACAAACAATGGCACTCGAAATATCTCGTACGATTTAGGGCCAATCGCTTTGAGCCACAGTGCTCACAGCCTTGCCTACTTCATAAAAGTGATCTCTACATGTTCGTTTACCTCTTCACACTACACAGAAGAGCGAAACAAGGATTATGGCTTAGCATTTCGACTCCAACAGCAGAACATTAATTTACCAGTGCGAGAGAGAAAACCCACAAAGGGCTTTGCTTTCTGGCGCATTGTCTCTCTTTCATGCAACTAACGAGAAAACCGTGTACAGTACTTCGAAGTATGCCTGTTTGTAGTGTGCATTTTGTGAGCAGAGTTGGCTGACGATAGTTCAGCTCCTTTTTTTTATTTAGCTTTGCTGAAGCCTGAAGGCGCAGGTTTTTTTTTGTAGAAATGGAAGAACGCAATGTTTGTTCTCGGATGGAGAGCCAAGGCTTAATTAATGTATAAGAAAGAAAAAGGACCAAGGAACTACAAGTATTAGTTACGCTATAATGTCCACTAACACCAGTTACTAAACAATCAGCTCATGTGATAACATTGTACGAGCTGATTGTTTAGTAACTGGTGGTGTTAGTGGACATTATAGCGAAACTTGTAGTTCCTTGGTCCTTTTTCTTTCTTATACATTTTTGTTTCGCTTTCTTTCTCTTTCACCATGCCCGATAGCATTTTTCCATGCTACTTTACTGTGTGCTCAGGTTGGAGTTTGTCACCTTACTCTCAGCTGTGATCATGCTAGTCACCATCGTCAGTCGCGGAGAATCGTCAACTGTGCTGCCGAACAGCAGTTGTCTTCTGTGGCCACGCAGGGACTATGCGGATCTTTGTAAGTCTGGTGTGTGCTGAGCTGGTTGCTGGTTGACTGATCAGTGCCAATCCTGGCAGCTACCCTCTAGCAGATATTCTCGCTAATCATTGTCAAGCAAGACGTCACTGGGCATATGTACTGTAAAACCTGGTGTAAGCGACCTCTGGCTTTAGTGGCCGTTTTCCATGTACGAACAGTTCAACACAGAAACTGCACTGGATACAGCGACCACCTGCCTTTCGCGAACAGCTACAGAATTTTAGTGTACCAAGTGCCATACCGGTATTGGACTTGCACACAGCAACCAAAACTAAGCAAAACTTGGCAAAAGTGCAATATTGTCTGACAGGGTTGACTGCAACAGAGTTGAAGTGCGTTCTGAAGCAAGTGCTTGCAGTGAACAGAAGTGACAGTGCAGGATTCGCTGAATGTACTTGAGTGAGGTGTGCTTTGCCTGCACGAAAGTAGTCTATGCTCCACACCTGTCGATATGAGTACATGGAAGTACAGTCATGTACAATCATGCACATGTATGTACACAATCAAATATGCCATGAATGTATGGGACCTGGTTCTAAAGACCACCTGGCTTTCACGACCGCTTTTGCTTGCACCGTGGGGTGATTGCATGGTCCAGTTTGGCCGGTGGTGGGGTGATTGCATGGTCCAGTTTGGCAGGTAGTGGGGTGATTGCATGGTCCAGTTTGGCAGGTGGTGGGGTGATTGCATGGTCCAGTTTGGCAGGTGGTTGTTTACCCATAGGGTGCGTTTATTCTCACCTCACAGCACTGCTGCGACGAAGTCTTGCTCCTGAACACTGAGCTCCTTCTTTCTCCTTACCCATCTTTTAGTTTCAGTTCATTTAAAAAGCGACGACATGTTACAAGTTATGACCAATTATCCACCAACGTAACCAGATCATATATTTCCTTCCCCTCTTCGGACCTTTCCTAACCGGAGCCTTCCAAGTTGGAAGGTTTTTTTTGCGCCACGTAGATGTGTTGGAGCTAGGTGTCAGCTTGTTGAATGTCTCAGTACTCGCCGTCACTTGTGTGCCTTGTCGCACACTCGCTGACTGTATGATCTGGTTATGTTGGTGGACAGTTCGTCATAACTCGTAACATTTTGCCCTTCCATTTTTTAAGATTAATGTTAGACATCCTACATATATCGGCCGTTAATCTGGCTGCTTTCTACTTGCTACTCGTTGCTTTTCTAATGAGCTTGATTCCTATGTAGCGTTATGTGGCGCTATGCAGCTTTGAGTTTACCAGTGTTTGTGTTCATGCAGGACGTTGTATTTCTCACGCAACATTTTCAGTTGCAAATATGGCATCTGGGGTGTCCTTTATCGTCGTTTCCTTTCCTGACTTCTTCAGCAAGTTTTGACTGCAGCCAACCACTCTTCCATTTGTGTGTTGTCGCTATTGGTGTCTATGTCTCCGTGCGTGTCAGTATATGTGGAGCGAGAAATACACTTAGTACTTTCCGTGTCTGTGTTTTTCATAGGTGAGATGCTGCGGTGCGGTGACAAGATCTATGATCCACCTTACGTCGACTGCGGCCGCCCGCTCCTCGACCAGGAGATCTACACCGTGTCCATGATGCAGCGGCAGCAGCAGTGTGGCACAGCTCAACTCACTGCGCCTGGTCGGCCTCGGCAAGTCCAAGCAACGCAGCCCAGGCTTGACGACGGCACCTTCTCATTCGGCGTCACCTGGGAAGATCCAGTGGGTACGTGGGAATGTGGTGCAATGTACATACAGCGGCAGAAGATTTAAAAAAACCGAGCATCCCGGTATGGAATATTATGTTCCATGTCGGTTGTGAATTATCTGTACCCAGAGCGCATTGGAGGAAGCAATTTCTCTGAATTCATTCAAAATTTCAATCCAGTTGCTGGCATAGTATTATGTATATTTGGGTGGGAGGGCTACCTTCTTGCTATAGCATTTGGAAGCTGGACTAGTTTCTGCTCCACAATCTAGTGGGTTGTTACTAGGGCTCAAACGGTCACGGTTTTACCCCTGACGGTTAACTGCTAAGCTAACGGTCGGTTAACCGGTTATAACCTATAAGCCACGGCAATCCTGCGGACTCTTTTTTAACCATATATTTGACTATGCTCATTCAAAAAATGTACCCTATTCTGTACAACGCACACTTGTACATTCTCTTGCATGCTCATTCATACATACTCTCACACCAAGAGACCAGATATGACCGAGTTGACAGCCCAGAAATTGCGTACGCGTGCAACAGCCCGCGAAAGTGCACACTTTGCAACGACCTGATACTTGAAAAATTGACTGAAAAGTTACTGCGTAACCGTTATCTTTATCGGTTAACCGTTAATTCTTCGTAACCGGTCTGCAACCGGTTAATCGGACTAATCGTTTGAGCCCTAGTTGTTACTGTGTTACAATCAAAGCTATTCATGGCTTCTGAGTTTGTTTTATCAAAGCAGCGTGCTGTCTATGCTGGCTACCCCAGCAAGTGTAGGGTGTGCATAGGTACTGTATTGACCGTTCTGTTCCCATGCACTCCGTGTGGTATAGACAAGGTGTACAATGTGTGTGTGCATGTGGGGGGGGGGGGGGGAGGATTCACAAGGCTTTGTCAGTTGTGTGAATGGTTAGTTACCAGGGCTTAGTCTTTATCTGCTTCATTCAGATCTTGTCCGCTTTTGTTGCTCCTTGCCAATAGGATATTTATGTGGATATTCATCCACTACATTTCGAATTGGCTTGCTTCTCTTGTGCCAGGCGAGCCGTACATGGTGGTACTGGATATGTGTGTGTGTGTGTGTGTGTGTGTGTGTGTGTGTGTGTGCATGCATGCTGGTGTGTGTTCGTATGTGTGTATGCCTGTGTTTGTTTGTGTGTGTGCGTGTATGCATGTGCTTGTGTGTGCACATGTGCGTGACGGCATGTTCGTATGTCTTTGGCGTGCTGTGAAATTTAGATTCCAAATTTCTCGTCGGCTATCGTATTGCCCTATCGCTTAAGAAGGGAACAGCCGTGAAATATGATCTTTCTTTGGTGAGTAATTCTAATTTGGTAATTGACTTTGACCTCTTGCTGAGATCCGGAGATGGAAGAGCAGTTGGTGGGCGGTTAAGACTCGATTGAAGAGCCAAGGACTGAAATAATAAATGACCGAGGACCACGGATTTGCAAGTAGTTTGTAGAAGTATTTTTTTCTTATTCCATGTTTTAGCAGCTCCTTGAGATTAATGGACGGGAGGGTTTATGCCACGTATTGAAGTTCAATCTGCTTGTTGACCTGTTTTAGTATGAAGATGCAGATTAACCAAACGGATCTTTCAGGTAGTTTTTGAGTGGAAACCGTACAATGTAGTTTCTGTTTTCTGTGATGCATTTTGTGGAGCTTGAGAGGGCTCTTGTCCCATGTCAACATGTTGAGTTCAGCATTCTTTGTGTGGATGGCATGTTGTGATATGCCTGCAATGTCCTCTCCAGAAATCACAAGTGGTCTGGACAACGGGCGTTACAGAGTGTTTTTCACCACAGACAAGTCACGGCACTCTGAAGCCAGCATACGAATTACGCCCAGCTCATTTGATGAATGCTTCATGGACTACGCCGAAAAGAGAGACTACAGTGTCAAGGTGAGCCTCCACAACAGTAAGGTGCAACGGTCACTCGATGATTATAGAGGGGAGGGGCCCGGGGGGGGGGGGGGGGGGGGTAAATGGGTTTTCCCCGCAGTGAATGAAAAGTTAAGCACGTTCTGCAAGATCGTTGATTTCCTTGATTTGTGGCAACAGTCATGTGACATACGATACTATATTATACAGTCGACTCCTGATATATAACGAGCACTGTTGTGCACTGAGAATCAGGTCTTTATAGCTGGAGCTCATTATTATAGAAATTCACTCACGCCATACAAGCAACCCGTCATAACTGACATGTGGTCCATGACTGTATGAGTGGACTTGGTTTCCATGCGCCCTGCAAAATACGGCTCGTTGTAAACAATGAAAACCGTTCACTACAAAGGTTCAATTTTGTATGGGTTCAAACAGTCATTTTGGCGGGAAGACTTGCGAGCTCCTATGATGCGCGCGACCAACTTTATATGTTCCGCTATGTGGATGCAAATAATTTGATGTCTTGGATGCAACTTTGTGCTTCTGTACTGAAGGTTACATCACTTCCACTGGCGGGTCCTGATACACCAGATTATGATAAACAGACTGTTGAGAGTAACAACATTGAAGTGAAACGTAAGGGATACATGAAATACGCACTGTGCGTGGCCTGCAACTGCATACACACCGTGTCCACTCACATACAGTTGAACATACACACTCAGACTGAGACTCAGACATGCCGATCGCGGAAGCGATGATAGCGAACAGCTATGTTAGACATAGCAACGTGTGCTGGGATTACACCATTCAACAGCTTGCAAGGCTGATGAAGTGACCACCACTAATTTAGCCTGACCTTCACCACACAGCTGATTGAAGTGGCTTTTCCTGGCCAGTGAATCCCTAATTTTCATTTTTCCATTTTTTCTTTTTCAACACACACACACACATACACACACACACCACACACACACACACCACAAACACCACACACACACACACACACAAACACACACACACACATACACACACCACACACACACACACCACAAACACACAAACACCACACACACACACACACACACACACACACATACACACACACACACACACACACACACACACACACACACACACACCACACACACACACCACAAACACACAAACACCACACACACACACACACACACACACACACACACACACACACACACACACACACACACACACACACACACACACACACACATACATACAAACAGCTACGTGTTTGCATCCCGAGCAAGGCTACGCCGATCCGTGAGGTGTACTTAAACCCTTCACGAACATCACTAAGATGAAGAGAGAGCATGCCATCTAACCCGCTATCTGTATGTACGGGGTTATCAGATGAAAGCAAAGCATTACAAGCAAACGACTAGTGAATCGTGAGACAAAAAAACGTGTGTCATTCTATCTTTTTGTATATCTGTCCTTTTGTCTGTCCGCCTATTTGGCTTGCTGCTGATTATTTTCTCTTTCTCTGCCTTGCAACAGCGTGCAAGGTGCAAGGCTGCCCAACTTTAGTGATGAACTACAGCAGCGCGGACTGCGGTTCAGATAAGAGTGAGTAGTCTGCATGCATTCATGTGTACTGTGACCTTTCTTCTCTCCACTCAGTCAACACTATGGGGCAAGGAAGACACCGAATACGGCTCTCTCTCTCTCTCTCTGCCTCTCTGTCTCTCTCTGTCTCTGTCTCTCTCTCTCTGTCTCTCTCTGTCTCTCTGTCTGTCTGTCTCTGTCTGTCTGTCTCTGTCTGTCTGTCTCTGTCTGTCTGTCTCTGTCTCTGTCTCTCTCTCTCTCTCTCTCTCTCTCTCTCTCTCTCTCTCTCTCTCTCTCTCTCTCTCTCTCTCTCTCTCTCTCTCTCTCTCTCTCTCTCTCTCTCTCTCTCTCTCTCTCTCTCTCTGTCTGTCTGTCTGTCTGTCTGTCTGTCTGTCTGTCTGTCTGTCTGTCTGTCTGTCTCTCTCTCTCTCTCTCTCTCTCTCTCCCTCTCTCTCTCTCTCTCTCTCTCTCTCTCTCTCTCTCTCTCTCTCTCTCTCTCTCTCTCTCTCTCTCTCTCTCTCTCTCTCTCTCTCTCTCTCTCTCTCTCTCTCTCTCTCTCTCTCTCTCTCTCTCTGTCTGTCTGTCTGTCTCTCTGTCTGTCTCTTTCTTTCTCTCTCTCTCTCCTCTTCCTCTTCCAGGACATTGTCAAAAGTTCAACAAGCAGTACAGTGCCCTCCGAACAAGCCAATTTTATAAATAAACTATGGTAAAAAGGAGGGCCGAAAATTTACAAGTTATCTGTTGTTTGTCCAACACTTACAATCCTAATCATGATACTGGCGAGTCTGAACATGCAGCAATTAGCACAACACTGAATGATGTGATGCTCCACGACGTGATGCTTAACTGCACCACGTCTGGAATGCGCAAACCAATAGCCTTCCAACTTGGAGGGTTCTAAGTTCTGAAATAAAGTAAGAATTATTGAATATTCACTGGTTGAGGGAATGGAAAAGGTAAAAGTCTGACGAAAAATTGACTGTGACCACCAGGACTCGAACCAAGGACCTTCGCTTGAGGCCAGCAATGTTCTAACCACTGAGCTATGGTGTAGCTGTCTTTCAAGCGTGCACATGCAGCGAGACCAAATTACACGCACGAATGCACAATGCAATACAATAATGCCCATCCGGAGATGATGGCAGGTCCTGAAAGGACCCACAGTGTTTGAGTCACGGGGAACAGAACTTCGAGTGGCGAGTGAGGTCCTGGCGACGGCGAAAATCTCGGCGACAGTGACACCTGAAATCCCGAGACACAGGTTTAGGCGGCTGGATGGTGTTGCAGGCCAGTTTCCACGCACGGCGGTCCTCGGCTAGGCTGTGCCAGTCATTGATGTGAAGTTCCTCTAGGTCAATCACGATGTTGTCACGCCAGCGCTTGCGTGGCCCGTGGCGAGGGCGCGTCTTCTGGAGCTCACCAAACAATGCCCACTTCGGTATTCTGTCGTCCGATATGCGTCCGATATGCCCCAGCCAGCAAAGACGGCGCATCCTCAGCATCTCCACCATTGATCGCAAACCAGCCCGCTCCACGATGACGGCATTGGAAAAATGCTCATCCCGTTCTGACTTGCTGACGTCCAGGATAAACCGAGCACAGCGGTTGTGGAACACTGACAGACTTCGGTTTCGGGTTTCGGTTGCCTTGACTGCCCATGACTCACAGCCATAAAGTAACGTTGAGAGTACGACTGCAGAGTCAACATGAGTCTTGGTGCGCACAGAGGTGTGGCCTTTCCTAATACAGCAGAACGCAAGGCACCAAAAGCCCGGGAGGCCTTGGCAAGACGGGAAGAAACCTCAACCGACAACTGGCCATCGTTAGAAATACAGCTACCGACGAATGCACACACACAGACACACACACAATAATGTATCTTGCTTTCATGTATGTTCTGGATCCATCCTGCACATCTGCCATCTTTTTTGTCTCTACAGCTGGATCACTGTCATTGTGTGACTGTGGTAAGTAAACACCGCAGTACATTCTTTTCTTGTCTGTTGAGACGCTAATGTGGATAAGTTTCAGAAAATACGCGGCGCCATTGTTTAACTCTTGTCGATCAATACATCCTCCTATAATACTATAGCTGCATCACAGTAGAAGGGGACACTCTGCGGAAATCCTAGCTTGATGCAGGGTCTTCGGCTCATGCAGTGCTGAAGAGAAAACATTGAACAACAGGCAGATGTAAAGTGTGTGGATGGTATTGATCGTGGTGCTGGGATTCAATGTAAAGTCAAATCCGTGACTACATAGGCAGTACTAGAATGTCTTTTAAAAGGTATGCAAGCTCCACTGCAGCGACTTCACTGCATGAAAAGCCCTACACACATCATCCTCAGATCAAGTGGTCTCTTCGCTGAAAATTGCTAATGTCTCAATCAAAATTTCGGCCAGAGGCCATCATCAGGTTAGCATGTCCCCTTTTACACGGGTCAGCAGCATGCCAATCCTGAATACGCCCAAACGGTTCAAGCTTGAAGTCCTTTGCACTGGCCAAACCGATCCACCACCGAAAACCAACTCAGCTGGTACTGTTGCCCAGTGAGTTGTCTGTTATAAAACATGTTGTAAATCATGCTGTGTTCTTACTTTTTGGAATTGCAGTTTGAAAGCCGCTCGATGCCGTCCAGAAATAACTGCAGGTTTCTCCTCTCTGATGTTGCTTTGTTCGCCTCGCAGGGCCTCTGGATGCAGATCTGACCAAAGTAACCGCCATGCATTTGGCACTGGATGAGAGCAATCGCACTTCAGTCACGTTCACGTTAAAATGGAACCCTTACACGAGAAGCCAGGGACGATACTACCTTTCGGCGCATTTCTTGAATCGCTCCGACTGCAGTTTCAAGCATTTCATAAGCCGTGATAGCGAAGAATTCACCGTAAGTACCCAGCACATGTGTACATGTACATCATGTCTGGTGATAGAACTTTTTTTAAAGTTCTATCACCAGTGGACTTTCGTATAAAAAATAAAAATAAATAAATAAAAAAACCCAGACATGATGTACATGACGATTGTATACATGTGAAAAAATAAAAGATATGAGCCTGGATCAGCAAAAACCATCACATGTGCAAAATTTTCGAAAAATATTTTTGTGCTCCAAATTGATCCACAACCACTGATAACCAGTCTCAAGAAATTTTAGATCAATCACAGCACCGTAAGTGACCAAAAAATGCGGTACACCACATCTCTGTACAAATGTTGGAAGTGGCATTTCTGTGTAGAATGCAAGTATGAGCGTTGGTATGTGTCTGATCCTGTTAGGCATTGCCATCACTCAGCCGGCTAACAAGGAGGAATTTTATAGTCCTTGGGGGTGTACTCAGACACTGGCTCGTCCAAGTAAATCATTGGCTTCACTGACTATTGCGCAGCTAACGGCATATGGCCAAGTTCCAGGGGCTGATATTGCATCCACACCAGGCTCAGTACTGATGCTCTCCAAGCCCTTCACTTCCATGAAACATATCTGCACACACGGAGTGCAATCACAGCAGCTGTGACTACTTAGCACACAGGCTCATGAGCATGAGGTACGTACTAGGTGCAGATACATTCAACGGTTACCTGACCCTACAGGAACATATTTTTTTGAATTATTTTGGGAGCTGCTGCATGGACCAAATAAATGTTTCAAGTAACAATGCTCAGTGTCCAAGCCAACGAAGCAGATCTTGTCTGGCGCTAGCTCTCGTTGCTCTTCCAGTCGTGAATCGAGACGCCTTTGCTCTGCATCGTCACTGTCGATATCCGACAAACTTACTAGTGAAGGAGTCGTTCATCGCTCAACAATATCCACTCGAGTCGTTGTCATTCTCATCAGCGCTGCTTTCTTCTACACGAAGTCTGCAGCCTCGCCGAGTCGCTTTGCGGGAGGAGAGAGTCGTCCTCTGGAGCTCCGCGGCTTTCACCTGACTCCCTTGATGAGCAATCGCCATCCCAGTCATCACCAAAAAATGTCGTGTCGTGATTGGCGTCAACGACGATCGATGCGCGTGCGATGCTCGCGCCCCGCGATCGTACCTATTTTTTTATTCGCCAGCCAGCTCAGGTACGTGGGGTTTCCCAGCCGTGTCTCCTCACTTGCCTGGGGCTCGCCTAGCTAGCTAGTCACTGACAAACAAACAAACACGGGCTTGTCAGGCGGAAAGAAAGACTAGTGACAAGAAAGACAGAAAGGTGGTGGGTAGTGTTAGGTCCGCGACTTTTCTTTCGCTCGGCTTCAACGTCACTTTTTGATCAACTTGATATCAAACACAAGCGATGGTTTTCGCTGATCCGGGCTCATATCATTCCGCGAATGTGTTCCCTCTGAGTAGGGATTAGAACCGGGAGCAGACATCTAACAAACACCATCCCTTTCCCAAAGTCTATGCTCACATACATGTGCTTTTAAATGTATTTATACCGTATTTCCGAGGTGTTAGCCGCACATTAAAACGAGTAAAAAACGACTCAAAAATTGCCCCTGCGGCTTAGACTCCGAATGATTGATGTGAATCGACCAGCGCTACAACACTCTATGGATGGTATTATAACAGTGTGACTGTGTGACTGCGAGTGATGCATCACAGCTGTTGCGCGCCAGCTTACAGTTAGGCTAAGGCCTGTCAGCACAATGTGCGCACGTGCAATTCGTGTATAAAATAACCTTGTTGTTCTAACAACAACAACGTCGAATCCAACAACACCGTCCTTCTGTGCATGCTGAACGGTTACAGATGTGATGTAACGTTATGTATGGTGCCATTCAACTACTTTTCATGTACTGTAAACCCTCATTGCAACTTCTACATGTCATCAGGTCTGAGTGAAGGACAAACTAGCCAACTTTTGCTAGAATTTTGGTAGTCCTTCTCCACTTTTTAAGCACAGGTACGGTCTGGTATGTCCCGATACCTATTATGTTTGGTTGCAAAGAATTCAAAGCCTAGTGTGCGGCTTATGCACCTAATGTCAACAAAATGCGAATTTTGGTCACTCGAGTTGCACAATCAAATGCAGTACAGTATAGCATATTCCCAATCGAACACGATTGAGTAAGCAGTCATGTGCTCCTGCGTACAGCTTACAGCCTGTTTGGGTGCGTTCCTGTCACGCGAGTTGAACCTTTGAACCTTTGAGTTGAACCTTGGCATGAAAGTTGTAGCCTGCAGGCACGGTGAGCAGGTGACTGGTGTACACATAATCAACCAGGTTTGATTGGGAAGGGCCGAACGCTGCATCGCTGCCTTCTCGGACCAAAACCAGTCGGACATTTTGCAGGCAAATCCCCATCTAGAAGGGCGCAGTCACCCAGTTTCGGTGGAAATGGCGAAGTTGATTGGGAATAAAGGAAAAGTGAGCGTCTCAGCTTCCTCAGACCAAGACCAGTCGCCTCAGCACCCTCAAGACTACAACTGGTGAATATGTTAGGGTATAAAAGAAAGGACCAACGTCCAACGGGTTACAAGTTACTGTACTCGTAGTTGTCCAACACTGGCAAATAGAAGCATTATTGTGCTGTTGCACATTACGGCTCATCAACATCATGCATATAGTTGCCAGTATTGGAATACTTTGGGTGACTTGTAAACCTTTGGTCCTTTCTTCTTTATTTTAACCCGTGGCTCTGCATCGGAGTATTTTTCGTGGCGGAAGGACATCGTGTGGTTGTTGTATCTTGTTTTGGACGTTGTTTCTGCTGAGCCGATGTATGTCCTGAGCTCATTATGGCTGGTGACGTGTGCTTCGTAGACGACGTGAGAGGCCTGGCAACGTCCTTCCATGGGGCATTCCTGCTTTCTCCTACAATTGCAAGGCTTTTAAGGAGTTTCTTCTTTCAGTTGCCGCTTGTTGTGCTCACTAATTGTTGCTGCGATGTTAGGCATACATGAGTAGCCAACCTTCACGTGTACTACCTTCAGTGCACCCCAGCACTGTTGAGCCCTCTTTGCGGTGGACGGGACCACTTACCTACATACATACATACATACATACATACATACATACATACATACATACATACATACATACATACATACATACATACATACATACAATACCAGCAATGCGATTGAGCTGACTCAGCCATGTGCACGTGTGTGTGTATGCTTTCTTTTCTGCTCTGTTCCCAGGGGAAAGTACAGTCCATCACATTCAAAAACGTCGATCCCGAATTCACGGCGTGTGCTGTTGTTTTTGTAAGGGTACTGGTGGCTTGGTTTTATTCCCACGGCAAAAAATGTGATTAATACCTCTTTTAATACCCCTTTATAAAATTACTTTGAAGTAATTAATTGAATTTCACAGCTCGCTTGAAACTCGGTCATACTGAGTTTTCCGCGTACGCAGGAACACCACAACCCTCAAGGATCAAGGCACAGATACAGCAGAGTATTTAAAAATCTGAATTGAAACCCTGAAATGGAAAGAGCTTTTCATTCCGTCAAACTGATTAATATACGAAAGTAGCTTCTTCATTCATTCACT